GCAGTGAGGAGCGGTCCTTCTCCAGGACCTGGGGCGAAAGGGTAGGTGGGGTGCCCAGTAGTTTTGCAAATCAGCAAACAATCATGTGACTGTCAGCGTACCAGCGTGATATGTGTTAGAAATAGCACTGCTAATTTTTTGTTTGCCCATCAGGTGGTGCCACAAAACATGCTCGCTCCACCTAAGTACGGCCTATGTGACCATGGATGTGCCACGCAATGACGGCACAACAGTTATTGAGAAATGGCCACTGGCATTGCTTTGGCCATGGGACATTTTGGACTTGCTCCACAAGCAGGGGCGCTTGGAGAGCTTCATTTCTGATCACCCAGACCCTTCACAAAGAACCAAGCTGTATTGGCAAAACTCGTCCCATTTGGATTTCACAAAGGATTTGGACCTATCTGAGCCTGGCCGTACCATCCCTCTTTGCTGGCACACTGACGGGGTGCAAATTTACCGGAACCAGAAAGCCCATGTCTACTCCTTCAGCTCTGCCACTTGCAAAGGCCCCACGCTATCAACCAAAATGATTTTTTGTGTGGTACGTGACACCATGGCCGTGAAACCTCAGACCTTTGACGAGATTGGGGCGCTGACCAAATACATGCTGAAATATTTGAGCTTGGGCGTTTACCCTTCAGTGGATGAGGAGGGCAACGAGTTTGCGCCGGGGGGCCGGGAAAACAAACGAGCTGGCCAACCGTTCAAGTTTGGCTGGAAAGGGGTCTTCAGTACTTGGAAGGGGGATTTAGAAGCTCGTGTGCAACAACACAAAATGCTTCGGAACTACATGTCCACCAACATTTGTGAGCATTGTCTAGCAGGGCAGGTTGGGCTCTTCCCTTTTCGGGATTTCAGTCCAGGCGCCAGCTGGCGGGACACTTGTTTGACCCACCACCAATTCTTGCAACTCAACCCGACTGACAAACAGTCAGTGTGGGCGGAAATCCCTGGTTGGCGCAAAGAGCGGAACGTGGAAGATTTGCTCCACTTGCTCCACCAAGGAGTGGCCCCGAGACTTGCCCGAAATAGAGTAACCAGTTTTGCGATTTGCGTCGTTCAGTTTGAGCAGCGCTGGAAACACTTCGACTGGTTGCAAATGAAATAAAGACGAGAGAAACGACCCCAAACCCTACAAGTAGGCAACTGCAACGCCATGGTGCTCCAGAAAAAAGAGTTGTTAATTGCTCAGGATTGCAATCGCGTCCCTGGTCATCGACACCATCGAGGAGCACTTGGGCCACGGCAAGACTCTGCCAGGCATTGCGGATGAGCTGTCCAAGGCCTTCGAGCATTACAAGAAGTTCTGCAAACGAAACAAAATGCCTGCATGCTCCTTCCGGTTCAGCTTGGCCAAGTTTAACAGGAAACAGTACACGAACCTCCCGGTGCTTGCGTCATGTTGCCTGGTTTTCTTTACAGGCCCTATAGTCTGTGTGTGGCTGGCGTGAATTATGGGGCTTGAAGCCGGGTTCAGTCAAGTTAGGGGTTGACCACCGCCCATGTCCCTTTGCTGAGGCTACAAGGCCAACGTTGTCAAAGGCATGGTTTACTGGGTTGCCGACTACTTGAATACGTTCAAAGACAGCCAGCTTGACAAGCAGCGTGCCTGCTGCGGCTATGCGTTGGCTAGGTTTCAGAGCATTTGTGACAGTGCCTTTGCTGCACACTAATTGGGCTCCAGGCCCACATGGTCGGCTTCTTGTCACGCGCTGCATTCAGTACCTGAGGATCGCCGGAGTGGTTCTCTGACGAAGCTCGCAGGGAAGCCTCCACCCAAATCCGCAATTTCCTTCAACTTTATCAAAGCTTGGCGGCGCAGGCGCAGTCAGCAAAGAAGAACAACTACCATTTAGTTCCGAAATTTCATAATTTCGATCACCTATCATCTTACATAGATGAGACTGGTCGTAACCCAAGGTTTGACCATTTGTATACAGATGAGGGGTTGATGGGATGCGTGGCAAAGATAGCTTCAGCAACGCATGCTCTCACTATGAGCAGGAGAGTTTTGGAAAGATACCGGGCCCATTTGGATGTGGTACATAGCCTGGTTGCCTTGTGGCCTCTCAGAGCCACCCGCTCAGCCCGCGGCAAGTAAAAGCCAAAGCAGCTGTCGCCCATCGCATCGGCGTGGCGTGTCAACAAGGTTTTTTTGTTTTGCAGCGCCTCCCCAAAAACAAAAAAAGCAATACCAACCGCAGGTTCATTGCCCCCTTGTCTTCATACAGTTGAGCACAAAAACTGTCTTCGAGCGAAGCCTCGCAAAAGTCCCTTTGATCCCCGAAGTGTGGGAAGTTACGGCTTGGGTCATGCATTGTTTGAATAGGCATTTTCTGGGTCTGCCCTGTTCATGTTGTTGGCCCTGCGCCCATTAACCAGGTGGTAAAGGGAGATCGTGTGGGGTAGGCGTGTTTTGCATGTGTGGTTGCATGCTTCTTGGGTCTGTTTTTGGGTTTGTGTATGTGTGTGTGTGTGTTTGTGTGTCTGTTGGCGGTGATGGTGGTGGTGGTGGCGGTGGTGGCGGTGGTGGTGGTGGTGGTGGTGTGGGTGCGTGTTTGCGTTTGTGTGCATCAGTGTGTCTCTGGGTTTGTGCTGCGTGTGTGTGTGTGTGTGTCACTAGACACGGACGGCTCAAGTCGCTTGCTCTCAAGAATTCCGCCTGCAAAGCTGGAAGCATACGGCGCGGCCAAGCGCGCAAGAAAGAGAAAACCAGCTATCTTTTTGACCGTGCTACGCATATAGGGTCAAGTACGGCGTTTCTGTTTGGCGCTCCGAGAAAGCCCAGCTAGGTGCTATATAGGGGCAAGAAAAGCACATCTAGGATGTGCCAGGCAGCATGCAAGGCACTTGTATATTTCCTTGTCAGCAAGACTAACAGTCTGCAAGCGCGCTGCTTGCGGCGCTGGGCTTGCAGCTATATGCCGTGCTCGAACTCACACGCCCTTATATTCGCAGCATGCCCGACAAAGGTGTATCTGATACGCCTTCATTGTTATGAGTGCTGGAGATGCGACTTCGGCTGCTCTGGGAAGCGGCCCAAGACCTGGTCTCGTTGACCTTCTGCTCCAGGGGCACGTCGAGACATTCTTCCCCACCACATTCGTGCGTCAGCTTGCGGCGCTCGTGGTCTAAGCCACTCAAGTCCAACCTGACCTCCTCGACGTCGAACTTCTTCTTGAAGGAGGCCCATTCTGGCGAGGCGAAGAAGCTCGGATAGTCAGTGTCGTCGGACTTCCCCTTTACTCCTGAGAATCTCGAGGGTGAGCCGCACCCTCCCATTGACCGGAAGGCAGGTTCCGATCATCTCCACTCCTTCCGTTTCCAGGCGCTCGATGAGCTCCACTCCCACCTCCTGCGCCACCGTAGGGCAACCCAGTTCAAGCTCCACCGGGATTTCCACGTTTCGAGGGTCTCGTAGCTCGAACTCCTCGTGCTGCCAAACGATCTTGTAGCCCAGGCGCGCAATCCTCCCAAGGGAAATGATCGTCTGGACCGGATAGTCCATGAGCAGCATGCCCGTAAGCGGGATCCTGCCTCAGGGTGCACTGGGTCCAGCTGCAACTGGGCCCCTCATCGCGGCCCCGCTTCTCCCCAAAGTTGGCCTGCATCTGCTGGTAGCCCCGGTCCTTGGCCTTCTGCATCTGGTCGATGTACCTCCACCACCCTCTCACCAGCTCCGCGCCTGTGATCTCCCTGGGTGGGCTGGCCTGCGCGACCACCTGGGCATCACCACCTTGGTGATCAGGGAGCGTGCTCGGCCTCATGGCCTTGAGCAGGGCTTCATCCTTTGCCCTCTCCGACCAAAAGGGGTTGACCTGTGGCGGCCCCAGAGCCTGCGGAGGCCCCTCCGGCGGCTTGAGCTCCTCGATCAAGGCCAGCTGGAGGTCCTTCTCCGAGGGCGTTTACATCTCGCCCTCGCTCATTGCGTTGGGCTCACAACCCTCGAAGCTAGAGGGCGCAGTGTATGTCTTTTTGATCCACTAAAAGGGCTTCATGCGTGAAATGATCAAAAGGTGGGTGAGCGACGTGATACAAATCATGATACTACTACTACTACTACTACTACTACTACTACTACTACTACTACTACTACTACTACTACTACTACTACTACTACTACTACTACTACTAATACTGCTTATAATAGTAATAATAATAATGATGCGAATGATAGTAACAGTGCTAATAAACAACAATGACACCACTAATAACATAATAAAATATAATAACATAATAAACATGATGATACTAATGAAATAATGATACTCATAACAATAACATTAACAATAACAATGTGATAACAGTAAACACATAATCAAACACAAGTAAGCAAATGGCAGCCACTGTTGAAGGTCCCAAAACCCGGGCTGCTCTCTTTAGACCCTTTCAACTGGCGAAACAGATGTTTTTACTTGAGCAAGGGAACGAGAGGACCCCATTCAAGACCAATGTTCTATGCGTGTGGTTTCTTTCGTCATTGCTTTGTGAAATAAACCTTAGAAACCTTGGATTACTCCACAAATCGGAGCCTTGGCAAAAGTCAAAAACCGTGGTTCTGTGAGATTCAACCTTGGCTTAGGTCAAAAAGAACCCACAGCCATATGCTCACGAGTCGGAGCCTTGTGGCGGGTTCCAGTGCAACTGCCAAGGAAGGTCCCAAGCGGCTCAAAGGTCGACGGCCAAATTCCCAACTCTACACCACAAACTAATCTTGCTGGTTCTCAATGGGGAATAAATGACGGAGAACCCTGGGTTCATTCCCAAAACCTGGAAGGTCGTTTCCTTTGCAATGCTTTTAGGTTCTGGTTCCCGTTTTCCCACACCAACCCCCAACCGGGTGCAAGACACTGAAGAGAGTTGGAACCAACTCCAAAGGGATATGTCCAACGGGTCTTTCTATAATTAAAATTGATGCCCAGAACCCACAAAAGAATGGCTTCCATTTAAACCTGTATCCTCCAAAATTCACATCAAATCGATGAGGAGACTCGATCCTGGCTGCTTGTGCAGCGCTAAGTCCCGGCCGATGTTGTCCTAAGGAGAGTCAGCGTGTGGCGAACAAAACCAGCCTCGGGGCCCTATGGGTTTGTCCCAAGTGATATGGAACCCCGAAATGTTCAGTCCCTCTGATTGCTGGTTTGGATTGGTGGTTTGGTTTGGTGGTTTGGTGGTTAAGGAGGGGCTTTCCGTGAACCAGGGGTTCAACCCAACCCACCAATTCAAACCGCCAATTCGGGGTTTCCTGAACAATGGCAAAGGTGTCCTTTCAGTTTCCCACTAAAAACCAACCCAAACACGGCTCTTGACCACAAAATCGGGACCCACAAAATGGATGGGGTGTCCTTTTTCCCTTCGAACCCCCGAAACCGCAGGCCGCAGGTTTGAAGGCTGCACTGACGCACATTAGACTAAACCTCTCGCTCGAACAACCCCAACCTCTTTGCGGAATAGGGAATGTATTGAATGACCCAATTGTCTCTTTGGTTTCTGGCGCCCGGTTGAAGCCTCCTTTTGGTCCCCCTTCAAAGCGGGCGAGTTCGTGGCATGGGAACCTGGGCTGCCGGGTTCGTTCTTTGCCTTGGATCCCCAACCCCCGGTCGCTTGAGTCCCGTGTCCCGTTTCGTGAAACCTGTCGCTCGCTGGACTCCCCAAGGGTTGAACCTTGGCTTTTGCGGTAGTTCTCTTTTTGTGTCCCACGCCCATATGTTCCTTTTTTTGCAGGGGAGCAAAACATGGAGGTTTTGACACATACCCATGGCATGATAGGCTCATATGCTCGTGCTGTGAATGGACACAAGTCTGCACCATCGTTCAGAAGCCCTGGAATGATTCGATGTCCCCACGTAACTACCAAGAAGCGATATGGAAATAACCACAGCTTCATTTCGTGGTGCAGTCGCGGATTTCGCAACCATACACTGGATGGATCCAAATGGGCAACCAACAGGGCGACCAACAAGGTCAGCTCGGTTGAAGTGATTTTTTGATTGGTTGGTCTCCATGGGACCCGTTGGGAGAAAAAGTCGGGATGGAGCGAATCAACTGCAACCGCTTGGTCTCCGTGAACTTAACTTCGGGTTTGCAACCGAAGCAGGGGCATTTTGTGTCATGGTTAGAAACAGCCTGATTACATCTCGTATATACAGCAACGGGCACCCGGTGTCAAAAGGCAGCTCCCGCAGCGGTATCGCGAATTTGCGAGCAGGCCGCGGTGATGAGAGGCCGAACGGAGTGGCCATACCTCATCTGTCGTGCAAGCTGAGCTTCTTGGCTTAGATGCCCAGATTTCCACGGGAAAAAAATGCAGAACCGGAATCCTTTTTCTATGTTTGGTTGACTTTAAAGGGTAACTAAAAACCAAAAAAAGAAACGGAACAAAGGGCACCACTGGGCAACTGGTCCACTGGGTTGGGAGGCTCCCGATCTTTTGGGGAGCCATGCCCTCAGTTTGGCAAGAAAAGCCACCCATAGCTCGGGTTTTGGCCGACTAATTACATACCCTATGCGATAATTTTGTAGTGGACCACTAGTGAAATTAGGGGCACGTTCCTACACGGCTGTCTGGCGGATTGTCCGCAAACCCCCGTGGCCATAGGCAAATAACGGGTACGCAGTTTTTTTTTTTGGCAGTGGTTGCTTTTCAAACGAAGCTCCCAAGAACGGAAACAAGGGCACCACCTGGGTTCCCTGTCATCCCAAACGGGGCTTCTATATGGAAGTGGCCGCATTCATCTTTTTCACGCACGCCGCAGGCTGCACAAAAGGAATCCGAAAAAGCAAAGAAGTTCAAAGAAGCCTTGAACTTTTTGATATTTGATCTGTTCACTGCCAAAAGTGAATCATATGTGGGCTAGATTGAAACCCAACCATTAAACCAACTAACAAACTAAAAACCTAAGGAATCCCCAAGTAACGGACCTACATCATAGTGAGCTCGTGTTACCCTCGAATCAAAACCTGGTGGCAAGGACGTCTAACCCCACGAGAAGACCTTGACCAAAGAACCACTTTGTGCTTGCAGCCACCCACCAATGATGAACCGAACGCAAAGCTAAAAAGGCAAAGCACAAGAAAAGGTCAGCCGTTTGGGGACCAAAACGGGAAGGCCAAACGGTCGGAGATGAGGGACTGCCCTCTGCTCTGTCTCATAGGCGCAGATCTGGCTTCTTGCAGCGAGGGAACTTGGGGGGGAAGTGTCACACGGGTCCCTTTCTGCAATGCCTCTAAAGGTGGCAAACCACAATGCGCTGAAACGGGCCCCCAAAGGGACTATGCGGTTGACAAGCCCCCTAAAGTTCTGCGCCTGGTGGCGCAGGCTTTTCCAGCCTAATCCTTTTAGAATTTCGCCCAATCTTGGCTTTTTCATTCGACAGGGGGCATATAGAAGATGGCTCCTCCAGTGAGGACCGTAAATCCAGTGAAGATGGTCCAGGCGCGGACCAAAGATGTCCTGACTCAATCGCAGAGTTTGGTCGAGGCTCGAAATTCCGGCTTTGGGATCCCTGGACATGGGTAGGCTGTCATGCGGTTAAATCGCCAAGAGTCAAAGAGCACGTTGCACGCGACCTGCAAAGCGGGGTCTCTTGGATTAGTTCTAGCTGCCAAAGAGAGTGAGAGAGTGTCGAAGAATGCAAGCAAGCAAAAGCTTAGCTGCACAGTAGCGAATTTGGAAAACAAGGATACCACCCAGCATCCCCCAATGACAGCTGCTTTCTTCTTTAAAGTCCAGAGTACTTTCCAAAAGTCATCTTTGGAGGAGTTGGACATGAGGAAAAGCAGTCAAGGGATGATTCTGGGTTGTTTGTGTAGGTTGAGTCTAAGGGAACGCAGCCTGAAACACGAGGAAAGCCTGAAACCCGGCATTCAAACAGCGTAAGCAAATAGGCACCAAAAAGCGGGTTTTTCTGTTGAATGAAGGCTTGGCAACGTGGGGCCAATATTTTGGCCGGAGTTCAAAAGGGAAACGCACGAAGCTCCGTCAGTTGGAAGGCGTCCTCTGTGTTGGGGAAAAGAAACACGGGTAGCTTGAACTGCTTGAACATGGCAATGTGCGACCTGCAACAGCCTTCTCTTGGCCGGGTGGAGATAGCTTGCACAAAAACACCACAAACAGTAATTCATTGTCTCAGCTTCACTTGTCGCTGTGGTAGCTCGACGCAGCTGCAACCAGGAAGTTTGCAAGTGATAGCTGACGACAGTATGTCAGGCACAGTGCACTACTCCGTCTCATGCACAAGAAACCGATTGCGGCCACGGTCCACTTGGGCATGCCTTCTTTTGAGGATACCCTTTTTTGCGTGTTCAAAGGGAAAGCAACCAGCAAAATCGTTGCACCATTCGGGGTCCCGGTCATCCTAAAAGACGAGCCATCCCATTTGATTTCCCTCCTCAACCCCCGACCAGCGGCGTTCGGCCACCCCGCCATTTGTTTTTGCCCACCGAAGGTGAGGTGGACCAATTCGCAACAAGGTGCTGCTTCGAATCCTCAAACACAGCTCTCTTGATCGCAGTCCCCCTCCCCAAATCCCCATACCCGGAACCACCCAGACTCCACTTTGGACAAACACTACAAGAAATGATTTAACACCACCTCAGATCGGTTCGACTCAACCGAAGGTGATGTTTAACACCTCAATATGATTGAGCCACGACGAAACAAGACCCACTAAGTGAGGCTGTCTGGTTCACTGAGTTACATGCAAAAAAACATGGAACCCAAAAGATCGTGCAATAAATGCAATGTGATATTCAAAGAGAGATCAACAGGTGCAAAGGGATGTTTGAACCGGCCAAAAAGGCAAGGTGGTGATCCGACCACTGAACAACGGAAAGGAGATGTTCCAACTACACCAAAAGGACAAGGGGATGGTTGAACCAAATTAACAAAGTAGTGTTTGAATCACTCCGGAAACTCTGATCTTTGAACCACAAAATCCTGATATGCGTACCACTCAACAACAGAAAGGTGATACTCAACCCACTGAAAATTGCAGGCAATGTTCCAAACACTTGACAAGAGCCAGGTGATACTGAAACTACTAAAAGGGGCAAGGTGGTGTCTCAACCGCAGAAGGAGGCAAGGTGATGTTCAACCCTCACCAAGAAAAACAAATCGGCAAGCCGATGTTTGATGGAACAAAAAACCCGACTTGCCAAACATGCCACAATCACATTCAATCCACTCAAAAAGGGGAACTGTGAGTAGCCCTGGCGCATGCTTCCGTCCTGTACTCCGTACGAGAGCGGGTGCTGTGCATCACGCAGGGCAACAACGGATGCCTTGGATCGAAGGATCGGGGCCATTCTCAGAGGCTCAAAGGCTCAAAGGATGATCGATGTTTTTGGGGGTGCCCTCTCGTGTTTTTTTCTTCAGGGAACCATCCTCCAACGGAAGATATGGTGGCCCCAGTCGAAATCGGTTGAAACCCTTTTGGGCCCGGCTTTAGGAAAACCAAGCACCTGGAGCAAGAGGCTAAGTGCTTCTTACATGAAATTGTTTCATACTCGGCTCCAAGTCTCCTGCAAGAAACAACTACCTGGACCCTCAAGCTACTGTTGAAAAGGGGAAATCATCCCATTATTCAGGGTGAATCACCAACTTTTATGGGTAGTTAGAGGGTCTAGGCATTTCAATTAGTGATAGATTCCCGTTGAAACCAGGGACAATAACAAGAACATATTCGAAAGACCAGAAGCCACTCCAACCAAACACCCAAACCAGCAAAGCAACACCGATCGACCGAGCGGAACGAAGGGCGAACCCCCCCCCCCCAAAGCTAAGGCTGAATCGACCCAAGACCCGGAGATGGGCCACTTCCGGGGCCCCGTGGTCCCTTGGTTTCCGTTTTTAGCCAACTCCAACGAGACGCCATATTACTCTTTCTTGACTTTGCGCCTTGCCAGGTGCGCTGAGGGCGCGGCGCTTTGAGGGGGGCGGGGCTGAAAAGCAAGTCCAGAATAGGAAACCCTGAAAATTGGGTGGTTTTCCTTTTGGTGTCATGTTGAAACCATCCCACAAAGGGCACTCAAAGAACAGAGAAGCTCATTGCGTTGCTTGCCGAATGGATACGGAGCAGGGTGGCCACTTCTCGCTCCCAGACCTCCAGTGGCCACAAGTCGACACTTACCCGATCTGGATGGCTTCAAGGGGGCCCCCGAAAAACATACCACACACAACACACAACACAACACACACACACACACACACACACTGCAAAACAGACGCAGACACAGGGCACAGGGCACAGTCACACACACACACACACACAAACAATGAGACACACACACACAAGGTTCAACCCTTTAGGGGCCTATTTTGTAGGCTGCCCTCAGATCCCCGGCTGAAAGTTTAACTTTTAGTGGGCTAAATGGAAACTTCCACTTAACACTGAAAGGCTAAAAAGCTAGGGAACCGGATGCCTGGGAGCCACCAAGTTTTGAGACCCCCCGCAGGAGCGAGGCGCGTGCCGGCGGTAAAGATCACCAGGGCGAAGGAGGCCGGCAGCGAGGCGGCGTCCCGCAGCCAAAGGCTGGGCGCGTCCCAGGAGTCCAACTCCTGGAGGGGTTGAATTGGCTGGTTCAGGTTTAGGTTTAGGTTAGGTTAGGTCAAGTTAGGTCAAGTTAGGTGAAGTTAGGTTTAGGTCCACGTTGGGTTAGGTTGGGTTAGGTTGAGTTAGGTTCAGGTTTAGGTTAAGCTAGGTTAAGCGGTGAAGCTAGGTGAAGTTGGGTTAAGTTAGGTTTAGGTTCATGTTGGATTAGGTTGCGTTAGGTCGAGTTAGGTCAAGTTAGGTTCAGGTTGAGGCTAAGTTAGGTTTAGGTCCACGTTGGGGGCGGTTGGGTTAGGTTGAGTTAGGTTTAGGTTGAGGTGAAGCTAGGTGAAGCTAGGTGAAGTTGGGTGAAGTTAGGTTTAGGTTCATGTTGGGTTAGGTTGCGTTAGGTCGAGTTAGGTCAAGTTAGGTTTAGGTTGAGGCTAAGTTAGGTTAGGTTGAGGTTCATGCTGGGTCAGGTAGGTAGGTAGGTAGGTAGGTGGCTGGGGGTTGATGAGTACTCCGTGAAAGGCCCCCAAATGACAAAGGGTAACTTGTCCCATGTATTTCATGTATATATATATATTATAATATATATTAATATAATTTATCTCTTCTTAGTGGCTTTCCAACCAATGGTCACCGCATTAAAAGGATGCTTTGAGCAACCACATGTTTCATTTTTTTGAGGGCACCCCCAAAACGGGGTGGTTTTCCTTCTTGGTGTTCCTGTTCAAACGAGCGGGTACCCTCAAAAAAGCCAGATCCTTTTAGTGGTGACCCTGTTGGGGTGACCCGTTAGGGGGCTGGGTGGGTGATTCCTCTTGAATGACACAAACTGAGAGGTGTCTCGAACTGGATTCCGGGATTCCTTTCGGTTTCCCTTTCCGACAAACACCTATTTGGGTTGGGTCGTCGGCCAAATTAGCAAGTTTTTAACAATCTAGGTTGCAACCCACTTGTAAGTGCCCCCAAATTGGAGTTCTAACCCGTTGTTAGCGGGTTGGAAGTCATACTATGCCTGGAAAATAATCAGAGCCTGGTACGACAGGGTTCTACTGGAAACTCGACAAGTCGAACAACAAAACAACCGCTGGATCTCCGCTGCTCAAACTGACCAAGAAACCAAACCAAACAAGGAAACCACTGCAAACGGGTTCTGATGCCCAATGGTGTGTGCAATAAAATCCTGTTGGACCTTTTTGTTTTGATGTTTGGTTGGGGGGAAGATGGGGTAGACCTGACGATGACTTTGTCAGCTGCAACTAAGGTTGGAGGCGAACCCAGTCTGGGTGTTCCCTAAATTGAGTTTAGGAAAACGGTATCCAAAGAGTGGAAGGAAAGAGAACCAATGACCCCGGAGTAAACCATGAAACTGGTTTCCTTCGTAGGGATCAAACGGTTCATTCCCCAAACCCCGACACAGATTTGATTTCCTGAGCAGCATGCCAATGACGACAAAAACCGTTCCCAGCAATTCGCTAGGCCCGACGGTATGTTGAAGATAGAGGTGGGTGCGACTTAAAAGCATGAAACCTTCGAACCATTTTTCTTGGTATCCTCTTCGGTTTACACAAGACAAACACACCCAGTGCGCAGGATGGGTCCAGCCGACAAGCCAAGCCCACAGCAAAAAAAAAGGCACTTTGCTAGCTTTTAGCTGATTTTAAAGGGACGCCCCCTCAAAAAGTCAACTACACTGGTCTTTGCTCACGGCCCACTGGTTGACTTGGAGACCCCCAAGAAGTTGAACAACGGACTCGCAACCCGCATGTCAGATTGTCAAACGGGCCGCCAAGCGAGCCAAGCTCACAGCAAACAAAAAGCAGTCATTTTCAGCACTTGAATTGTCAAGGGTGATTTCAATTCTTTTGAGCACTTGCCTTTTTACACCATGTGTCTTAGCACTTGATTTTTAGCACCCCTCCTTTGGTAGTTCATATCTCAAAAAGGCCGACAGCAAACCATTGTCTTTGAGATCCCCCAAAACTGGGCTCTTAGATCCCCTGCCAAAAGCTTAATTTCTGGTCAAATGGAAACTAGCACTAAACCAACAAGCTCAAAAGCCAAGGAACCGGATGCCTGGGAGCCAAGACAAATCAACAAAACCTTTTCCGGTCGTGTCCTTCAAGGCAAGCATCTTTCTGTTGAGCTATGTAGTGGAGCTTTTGAGAGGTTAGAATAAGGGTACCTTTTTTTCCTGTAGTCTATTTTTGTAGAACCCTCCCCCAAAAAAGAATCGGTAACAGGGCACCACTGGAGACCTCGTGGTTCTGAAGGAAACCGCCCCGCAACCGCCGCACGTGTCTCGAGCCGAGCCGCGAAGCCCCAGACGAGGACCACCGCGAAGAGCGCCGCCACCGCGCCGGCGGAGGTCAGCGCCAGGTAGGCGTACTGACGGTCCGTCATGGCGGACATCGCCACCTGTCCCACGCGGCGTGTGCCATGGGAGGGGTCCTTTTGAGGGGAAAAACACACACCAGGGAAAACACAGGGCACACAAAGAAATGGGAAACCCAGGGAAACCAAAAACAAGAAGATAATTGTTGGCGCAAGCCGCATTTGAAGGTCCGTGTCATTTTCTGGTTCCCTTTTAACCCTATGATTTTGCTGGTTCATGGACCATGCAGACTCGGGATTTAAGCCGCTTCCAGAAACCTCCGCCCACCGTAACAGGAGGCGAAACGCGCGGTGAACGTCAGATTCCGCCGAGGTGCCCCAAGTCCGGTGGTCACCAACAAAGACTTCGGACCAGTAAGGCTGGGAAAGATCGCCGAGATGCCTGCGGGCCAAACGGGAAGGGAGACCTGTGGTTCCTTTCCATGGCTGTCTAGATCGAACCTATGGTTCCCTTGATAAGAATGCTTGCCACGAAATCTCTGGTTGATGAGCATCAGCAAGCAGGTTAATTCAAAAGTGACGATTCTCCACGAAACCCAGGGACACCCCCTGTTAACAAACTGGGGTTGATTGATATGGGGTCAACATTGCTACCGCACATTTTTTTCAAAAGGGGCTTCACATGTTTGCCTGTAGGGAAAAAGACACCAACCAGATTCCAAGCATGCAAGGTTTCATGTGGAGTCGGCTCACACATGGCGCGAACTCGCAAAGCGAGTACACAAAATTCAAATTCCAGGGGTCTATTTAAAGGGGCGGGGATTGTTTGATGTTTCAACATAGATCTGTCCTTTTAAAGGTTCCCAACATTCTAGGGGTACCTTCCCCATTCTTTCAGAGATCCTTCTTTCTAGACAATTCCAGAAACCCAGGGAAAACGCCTGAAGAACGATGGTTGAAAAGAATGGAAAAGGAATCAAACCCTAGAAGCATGGCCTAACGGTTTGCCTGTTGGTTTCTCTTTAAAACCCAACCAGTTTGGTACCGGTTCGCCGTGAGTTGTCTCACGAGCGCATGCTTGCGCTTTCTGCAAACTCCGTCTCCCAAGCTTCATTAGGACATGGGGTTGACCAAATGACCACGGGAATTTTTTCAACATTTGAAATCTCAGATCTGTTCAGTGGCTTTCCAATCAACGGTGATTCTATGCAAAGGATATTTTGATCAACCCTAATGCCTGGATCTTCGACCCCGGTTTTCCTGACCTCGGAAGGAAGCCATGGATGATGGATTTTTACAAGCAACCACGTGTTAGATGGTAAGCAAAGGGAAACAAGCTTTCACCCAGCTCCCTGGTTACCAACAGAACTGAACATATCGTTGTGTTCGCGCGAATCGTCCAGAGAATCAGAACCATCATTCAGCAGTTGGCGCATGCTCAAAAGGTCCGCTGAAGTGTTCATCGCGCCCTTACATATCCCCTCGATTTTGCCACACCCTTTGTCGCTCAGTCGCTTTGGAAACCAAAGGTGATGCTCAAAGTCACAATTCAGGAATCAAGCAGAGTTGGATTGGGGTCTCCTGCAAACACATTTCATGTTGTAGGGTCGAAATATATATATATATATATATATGTATATATATATATATATGGAACTGAGACATAAATATACTAAATGTTAAAGCGCCATATTGAACATATCCAAACATCCGATTCTCGTGGAGCTTCCCGGAAGAGCCTCCTTCGCGAATGGAAGCTGAAAAAAGGAGCCCCACGCCAAATGAGTTTTTCTCCAAGTTTGCAGCCAACAACTTTCCATCCCTTGGTCTGGTAGCACAAACCATTCTCTTTTTGCAGGCGAACGAACACCAAAACCTAAAACCATGTCACCACCAGTGTAGACAAGTAAACCAGCCTTCCAGATTTCATGTTCCATACCGGGGTGAGACTTTTTGGCGCCAAACTTGCGAAAACGTACGAAGGCCAGTTGCGGGAGCTCCAGATTGATTAGGCGTCCTTTGGCTACAACTAAGTTGCTTGTTTCTTTCTTCAATCTAATCTCCTCCCCCAATTAATGAATGACCCCCATTAATAATAAATGCAAATCCGGGGCCCGAGACCAGATTTCCACTCCGCACAATTGATTTTTAATTGCGCCAATACTAAACCAATACTAAAGTCTTGGAATCCTTATTAGGGGGCACTTTTAACAAGCTTCCAGCCCCACTTTTAAGCTGCGACTGTCTCTGCCCCATACATGCTGGCTAACCTGCCTGGCTGCCAACAAACAACCAGTAAACTGAAAAACAAATAGAATGATACATGAAATTTCCTTATTAAACCGCTTACTCGCGGACCTTACAATTCAATCCATTTCCTCCAAATCCTATGCGAACCCTCACATTGTTGGAAAAGCAAACCCAACCCCGAAAACCCCAATTAAAAAAAAATCCATTTTTGGGAGGATTTATTTATAATAGGGGGGGGGGGGGGGGGGCCGTATTTATTAATAGGGGGAAGAGATTATTGTATGGATCATGGTTTTTCACAAGAACCCTATACCGATTGCCTGTCTTCTCTACTCTATACTGAAGGATTCTTGACCAACCTTCGAAACAACTCCAAGCAACCTGGACAGGGCAGCCTAAACAAACACGCACCCTGCCTGCAAATCCCAAAACCAGCAGTTTGCCCAAAAGGAGACCCCTGTCACACGGATTGCTTGAGATATCTGTCAACTTGCTAAACATATGGCTCGAGTTGTTTTTCTCCATTTGCTTAAGTCCCCCAGAAGAAAGCAAACAGCAGCAGTGATAGGTTCCCTTCAACACTTGGGAACATATTTTGCTTTTTTAATACAACAAACCATCTGACACGCCAACATGGAAGCCCGGCTCGTGTTCTTTTCTTGCGGAAAAGGCCATGGTGCCGTTGGCCAGCGCGATGATGTTGCAGCACACGTAGCCGAAGATCTCGGCCCAGGCAACTGCATTGGCCAACCTTCGATCCGGGCGTGGTTTGCTCGGTACCCTTTTGGCACCTTGCGGTGTTTTGGATTGGGTTGGAATCTACTTGGGGTAGTGTCCAACGCTGCCTGGGGAATCACACTATTCTAGCCTATTCCCAGATAAAGCCTGGAAACAATTGGTCTATTTGGGATTATGTTGGGTAATTTCCCCGTGCAAGCCTAAAGGGTGTAATTGATAGGAAAAAGTCCGAACTTGATATTTACAACTAGCATTATTTTCCCCAAAAAGGCGAAAGAACTCGGCAAGCGAGGGTATCTACTTGGTGTAGTACCGCTCGTGAAGCTCAGCCAAAGCGCAAGGCGAAGCGAGGTCCGATCGCCTCTCGCGCCAGGTCCGGGTAGTCTGGCAGCGGGATGCCCATCCTGAAACCCATTTTGGTGTTCTGGGACCTTGTCCTTTTTGACACCCCCAAAATGGTGGTTGTCCTGTTCACGTGGATTTAAAAGGGGTAGCTTCAAACAAGACACACCCACATGAGCCACGCTCAATAATATTTCTTTCCCCATTCTCTGTCCGTTTTTAAGTGAAGGGGACGACCAAATTGAAGAATTGTGCCACCTCCTTTCACCCCACTGTATACCCCTTCCAGTGAAAGTTGTGTCAAGATGGTGTACCCGCTTTTGCTTGATATTTGAAGGGACACCAAAAGACAACTGCACACTAGTCTGAGCAACCCCAATGCAACCCAGTGCTAAATGATTGCGGGGCCCCAAAAAATGCACAGGGGAGGCTGAAAAATTGACAACTGGGGGGGGGGGGGGTGTCTGTTTTAGGGGACCAAAATGGAGGTGTTCCTTTTGGTTGCCTTTGAGTCTACCAAAAAGGGTACCCTCAAAAAAGGACAAATATGGATCACTTGACACCCAATGCAAGACAAACCCTCACAACTGAGTGGTAGCTTCACCCACATACCTAACCCAACATGGGGGTTGCCTTTTGGCGGCCCTTTTAAACCAACTCAAACACCACTCCAAAACGGTTCCAAGTTTTTGGGTTTCGCGTTGAAACGACCTCCAAAAGGGTATCCCAGGCTCACCTCTGATTCAGCTCGAATGCGAGTCGGACGTGCGAGCCCGAAAACGGCTCCTGATGAGCGTCACCAAACCTCGGCTTTCCGGAAAGTGTCTGCTAACCAAAAGAGGTCCACAAGTCTGCTTGCAGTCAAACAATTGTTTGAGTCATTGAAAGCGTTGGTGGGTTTGCCACTCAAATAGTCCAAACCCCGAGAGTAATTATAAAGTCCAGGAACTCAGGAAGTGAGTCGTCAGGAAAAGGCTTGGTGGCAAAGGGGGTCCATTGCACATGTGATGTTCCCTTTCTTTGAAATTCGAGGGGGTGTTCTGGGTCCGATGGATCGCGGGTAGCTGGCTGCGGCAACTGATGGAATCCACCAATATGAACAGCTACACTACCCAAACCTTGCTATGTCAGCATAAACACCTTTGCAGACTCCCACGCTCCAGACAAGCAAGACAAAACATACCAAGAAACCACTAAAGTCGAGAAATGCGGGCCAGATGGATCCATGGCGGCTGTCGCTCGGCCGAGTTGCTCTCTTGCAGCTTCAGGGCGGTGTAGGTGCAAGCAACGCCCCCGCAAATGACGATGACGCCTGGGGCGCTAAACCCTGGGTGAGGGAAATTTGGAATGAGTACCCCGAGTCCGTCCCTGGACCATAGACTGGATATTGTTTCACCAAACCCTGTGGTTATGAACTTCAGTTGCAGATTTAGATTCATGCAGTGCAACCGCCAACCATTTGGGCGGGCATTCGTTGAAAAACATAGCCGGATCTCCCCTAGACGGACTCAAGATGGACGCGACGGGTCATGCTTCAACTAATCAAGCATCTTCTGTGGTGGAACCACATGCATTGCAATAGACCTCATTAGGTTGGTTTGTTCAAGCTTCCTGACATATTCCGAACGCAAACGGCGGACAATGAGATTGTCGACCGACCATGCAAAACATGCCTGACATGCCACGTCCCAAAGAAGTTTGATGACTATTGCAAAGACTTCTGAAGATTGACTGTCACTCAGATCAATTGCACCCGCTGGCTCCAAAAAGAGACTGTTCTTGTTGTCCAAAAGAGTCCTGTGATTCTGCAAGTCTAAGGGCAAACGTGCCTGCAAATCTGCCCAAAGAAGTTGGCGGTTCCAGTTGTTCTTTGCCAAACCTGCGTCAATATTGACTCACGCCGCGGACAGACTGCCAGAAGCGAGAAAACACGCCCAACAACGAATGCACAGTCGATCGAACGGCGGAGCCCTGAGAAAAGCCCGCAATCACAATGGCCTCGCCATGTTCGAACAAGGTCCACAAGATCAGCAGAGTAATTCCTCGGTTGCTGTTGATCCCTCTGAACCCAGAGGCTCCGGAATTTAGAACCCTACAGCCAGGCTTTGAGACCAAGCACCGGTTAGCGGGGTGTTTTTGGAGGGTCTGGGTCTATTGAAAGCCTGAGGGGCCTCTGGGCAAGAAGGTGTCCACCTTTTTGTGGGTTCAATCCGGAAACCCTAAATGATATCAACCAACAAGTCAAAGTCTAATGCCTGAGCACCGCCGTTCGTCTTGCTCAGGAAGACGCACAACTGGGATGAACCCAGTTTGGCGGTTGAAACCAAGTGGCCCAGGTAAAATCAGCTCCCCAATTGGTGCAGGCTTCAACAAGGGAAAGGGACACCCAAGAATCAAAACAAGTGGTACACCTCAAAAAATTGGTAGCGGCATCCATCACGAGGGCTAGCGGGCAGCTGAGCTAGGCGAGCTTACGCGAACCTTACGCGCCTGCTTACGCGAGCTTACGCGCCCACGCCCCTGTAGTTTTCGTAAATCAGCGGCTACTGAAGCCTTTGTTTGTCCTAGTGGAGGTTGCGACAGCACCTAGCATGAGCCCCAACAGCTCCCAATCAAAGTTCTGCAGTTGTGTTTCTTTCTAAGGGTGCGCACATGCGGTCTTAGACTTCTTCCTGCAGCCAAAGTCCTCCGGGTAAGTTGCCAAGCTCGACAGCACAAGCCACCAAAAAACGCATAAGCACATGTGGGACAACTCTTCCGAACATGCTTACAAAGCTTACCAAGCAATCACGAAGAAGAGCTTACGCAGGTGCTTACGCAACATGTTTCCCCAAAAAGTGCTTACGCCCGCTTACGCCGTGCAGGCTTTTGCTTACGCAGGGCCTTGTTATGACACAACTCTTGCTTGGCATGTAACGGGTTTTTTTAGAGCTGCTCATATGTTCAGCTTTGGCCCAAACTTTTAGTCTACCCTAAAATATATCGTAACTTTGGAGTCGAGGCCTTCAGACTTGTTGATAAGTTGGAGCCCAAGAAAACAACCGAAACCGCAGACCGATGCGGGGGCCACGACAACCTGCCCTGAGTCCCCTGAGCGCCTGCGAACCAGCCGTGCCGTGCAAAGAGGCAGGGCAAGGTGAAGAGGCCCACCTGGTGCGGACTCGTGGCGTGTCCTTGGGGAACCCCAAAACGAGTGTTCAATGAAACCTGCAGTGTTTTATGCTGCTTTTGGGCTTCCTGGTGTCCTCACCAGTGAGAATTCCTTGTTTCACGCTGCCCCCAGACAGGAGAGAGCGAGAGAGAGATTTGCAGTCACTAAGTTGACTTCCTCCCCAAGGTTTGATCAGTTTACGGGTCATTTCCACTAAAACGCCGTTATTTTGGAGGTTTCACAAAGACATGGCGCAGAAAGCCGGTTGGAGAGGGGTTTCCGGGCGCTCAGTGGAACCCCATAGATCATGTCCTTGTCGGCTTGCCACCCTCTTAGCACAGTTCCGGATGAATCCGAAGTTGACATTGATTCAAGAGAAGGTTCTAAGAACCTTTTGAGGGCCGGGCTTCGTGTCCAGCAAATACTTAGAAACAACTTGTTTCTGTTGAACCACATCGCGTCATGCCCATGGGATGTCGGACAATGTGTCTGATTATATTTAATTTATCCCTTTGCTCCCCCTCAGATCAGCGTGAAACCAACCCAAACACCCCACCATTTTTCCTAGCGCGTGTGATTGGCGTTTCCCCGAATCAACAGATTTCGGTGTCCCTTCCAATCGCTGCACTTCGGGTACACGTCACACCAAAGCAACGACAGCCAAAGACGTTTTTTTTGGCCGCCGAAGGCACCGACCATGTCCGAACCCAGCTCCTTAGCTCCTCTTTCGCAAACTGGATCCAAAATGTCCCCAAACTTCTTGGATACCAAATGGTCAAGGATCCCCAATTTTTTCAGACCCCACCAATTTTTGGATCCCAATTCTTTGGATCCCTCCCTAAGCTCCAATTGGTTGGTGGCCGTCTCTCGGGATCCCTCCCTATTGGTTCGCGCTCGCTCCCTTCGCACACCGATCAACCGGACCGTTCGAGCCACGTTCATCAGGAAGTTCACCACAGTGAAGGTGGCCTCCGCTCCGGTCCTCGGATTCGAGACGAGCCGATGTTTTTTAGGCGCGGGCCAGGCGGGGCCCAACGGCTCCTCCGCCATTTTTTTGGGGGATGCCTTCCGTCTCGCTTTCTTTGGCAGATGGGTCGGCCGGCAAAGGGAAGAAGAAGTTGCCGATTGGTGAAACTCAGCAAAACAGTTATCTACACTTTTGGCCACTTATGGACATGGAACCCGATTGAGGGGTCCTGGAAGCCCGTTTTGCTTGAAAAGGGACCCTCTGATGGGTTCCATGTCAGTGGACAAACAAGTGGGTAACTCTTTTGTTGGCTCGTTCGGAAACGCTCAAGGAGTTAGAGCTTCGAAAGCTCACTATAGGTCTTCTATCGTGCGAGCCCGGCCGAGCCGAATCTTTGGCAACGGTTTTCTTTCCTTCGAGCCCCTCCTCACAGCCTGCGTTTGAAAGGCATGTTTTTGGATCCCGCAGTTGCCAAGCGCATCCGAGTCATGTAAGTCTACCTGGATCTCCTGCAAGTTAAGAATTCCTACTCCAAATTGAACAAGTACTTTTTGGCCTGAGGACACAGGTATTTCCACTTTCGAACGGGTATTTCTACTCTTGAACGGATATTTTCACTACCATTGAAGTGTTCATAAATCAGCACTGCACATAAATTATCAAAGGCTTATTGCGTAATGTTGGCGTATTTTTTACGTACCTCCGAACGGGTCCGAACAGGTCCGAACGGGTACGAACGGGTTCGAACGGGTTTCGAACGGGTTTCGAACGGGTTCCGAACGGGTCCCGAACGGGTCCGAACGGATGCCTGAGCAGTCAGAACTACCCGAACGGGCATTTTAACACGGAGTGAAAATTATCACTCCAGCATAAAAGAAAGTACTTTTTTCTTTTTGGAGTGGGAATTATTAACTTTCAAGAGATGCAGGTAGGGAAAACGGCTGGGTCTCTGTGGATGTCCTCCCTACAAGGGTAGACTCGCTGATGCATATCGCAAATAGAATGCTCCCGAACCCAAAAATGGCAAGTCCAGAACTCAGGGACAGCAATCCAACTTGCCCTGTGAATCGTCGGTTAGCCATCGAGATCTTGAGACTTCTCTGGGCTGCCCCACATAAGCTCCACATCGTCCATGCCCAGCCCTGGCAAAGATGGATCGCATGGGTTGTTCGTGCCCATGGAGCGAGTGGTTCAGCTCAGAGGCCCAGTGGATTTTCCATGAACGAGAGCCATCCAAACGAAAAGGAACGGGTGCCCACTGGACAACTTCAGAGAATTAGCTCCAAAGGACTAAAACAAGCCCTTGTTCAGCCCGTAATGAGAATGAAGGGATCCCCTTAAAGGAACCACAAAGGGGCATTCCATTTCTCATTCCCTGCCTATCGCACCAGCAAGAAAAGGTCCTTTGACCCCAACAAGAACCACGTTTCGGAGGCTTCTTCTTTCGATCCCCAAACGTCCTGTTGCGAAAAAGGGAGAAAGTCTGTCACTGGTAAACTATTCTAAACTCGAATTAAGGAGCCCTCAAGGATCGAACGAGCTTGGATTTCCCAATAAGACCATTGCAACTCGTTCAGTCAATGCGACAAGAATCTCGAATCAACTTGGTGCAACAAAACATGGGTGTGGCCCAACATTAAACAGCTGGGGTTACGCAGGTTTTAGTCTTTGTTTCCATGTACCAAGGTGCCATATTTTTGGGCACTTCTTTTTGAGCCACAGCCATACGTACACATAAAATTCAAACTTGTTGATCGACTTTAGACCAAGCTTCAGACACAGTCGCATTCCCGCAAAAGGCGTACGCGCAGGCACGAGGCAAAAGGACACCGAACGGCCAACCAATAACTCGTGCAACAGCGGCATTTACTCAAACAATGAATTTAGTGTCCATTTTAGAGGGGATCAATCCGGGAGATATTTCGGGAAGAACCCACTAATCTGCGAGGTTGCTTCACCTGTTGACGTTAATATGGCTCAAAGTCACTGCGGCAACTCATTTGACAATCTGGAGCATCAACCAAGATGCCTTCGGACAGGTACCTCCTTCGCTGCCAGCGACTTGTTTCAGGCTCACTTGAACCAGTCCCGCCCCCCCCAAAAAAAAAAAAAAAACTTGACAGCTTTTTCCCATGTCCAAAATCCCAAGCGTCCCAAAAAGCCATGGCTGGGACCCTTGCAAACCCATACCTCTAGAAAACGGCTCGGATGCGCTTTTGGTGGATTTCACTTGTTCTTCCCCCTGTTGGTCCTTTTCTAGTACTCTGTTAACTGGGCTGCCCTCAGATCCCCTGCTAAAAGTTTAACTTCTAGTGGGATAAATGGAAACCCCCACTAAACACTGAAGGGCTAAACAGCGAAGGAACCGGATGGCTGGGAGCCACCAAGTTATTCCTGAGAACCCCGAAAAACAGACTCGGTTGCTTTCTGCTCCCCTGCTAAAAGTTTGGACAACCCATTTGGCAAAAAGTGATTCAGTCCTAACAGCCCTTGGCAAAATGCGCCAAAGATAACACCTACGGGATCCACAGATTCGCGCCTGGCTGCTGCTTGCATCTTCTGGGACTGCCGATGGGCGACAACGCCGCGCGGTGCATTTGGTTGGCCGCCTCCGGCGTGGGTCAAAACTGGCCCCCATTCTCCCTTGACGTTGGAAGGGGAGCAAAAATGTACATTTTAGCAGTTCAGTGGGGATTTCAACCACTAAACCACAATAAGCAAAAATGTAAAATGTTTCCCAACAACAACCATGATCCTCCATTTGCTTAAGGTTCCTGGAAAAAGACTTCTTTTTCCAGCTCGTGATAGATTCCCTTTAAATCAAAAGGGAAAATGACACAGAATCATATTAAGCAAATGGAAGTTATTCAACCAGTACCAAAGCCCCCCCCGCCAAGTGGTAGGTTAAAGGGAAACCGCAAACCAGATTCTGACTCTGACAACCCCGCAAAACGGCTTCAAAACAATTAGCCTAGTCCAAATGGCACACGTTTGTCCCCAAGAGGGAAATTGAATGAGTCACCGAGTCCAGATCCCGGCTGTTGTGCGGAATTGGAGACCGCCCAACAAGTACCTGCAAAAAACAGGAATCAACGTGGAAGTGCCCAGGGCCCTTTTTGGTAATGGGGTTCTGTGCCCATGAAAGCAGCGACTCGCGCGAGCCCATTCAAATGGCCGGGTGCTTTGAGCCACGTTGGACAGACATAACCCAGAGGCCCGCTGCTCTTACACGAGGCTCGGTCTCCAAGACACAAACATGGGGATCGATCCGTAGCCCCCCCAAGTGCTTTTGGGGGATCGACTGTGATATGTTTGATATTCCTAGAGCCCAATGAACATAAGACCCCATATCCACTGCTCTGACGGAAAAATGTCTGCTGGGCACCACAAAGATGTTTGCCTAAATGGAGACCTCGGTAGCTCCAGAAAAACCTTTCAAAGGAACACCTTTCTTTGGCACTGCTCAACTCAGGAGTCAATGCTACACTCTCCGCTGCAGAACTCATAGACTTATCTTTTGTACCAATACGTTTACAAGGTCCCCCCCATTTTCCCAGAGATCCTTCTCTTGAGATCTGAGGACCAGTCAGTGGCTTTCTCAGAAACATGTGGGGATCAAACTTAAGAATAAAGTTGATACAGACCTCATCCCCTTAAACGGGTAGTAGACCCCAAAAGCAAACAGCAGAACCATGGGCTATTGGACTAAACCAAGACTGCACACATGATACGAGAATCAGCAAATTTGCGATGGGTTTTGGGCGCTCAAATGAGTTGCATCACAATCAAAACCTGGCAGGAAGTGGGGGTAATCATACGCTGATGACATGCGCCCTACCCAATGCTACGAATCAAACACCGAAGTGGCCTTCACAAGCCTTCATCTGCCTTTTTCATGGGGTCCAAAACAAGGTTCCTAGGTTGCCTTTGTGGTTCTTTTCTGGGCTCGCGACTAATTAAACCACAGGGAAAACAAGTGTTTTTCTTAGGAGTGGCCTCATCTTCCTCCTCATGCTCGTCCAAAGATTGAACGACCAGAGCAGCACTCGGCAACCTCCGCAAATCCTCACGCTCCGGGAGCCTCGCTAAAAGGGTTGTTCCCATTCGGCCAAATGGACCGGCTGGAGCTACTTGACCCCTGGAAAATCAAGGGAGCCGCTTATCGACCTTCTATCTTGATTTGGCCATTCAGCTGACAGTTTGCCATGCTCTCAAAAAGGTGATCCCTTAGGCCCTTCCAAGGTCAGGCCACCCAAACTGAACGGGCCAAGGCCATGTAAGTTGAGGCCGGGGGTCAAAGGATTGCCAAATGGGCGCCCATCTAGGGGCTTTGAACACAAAATCAAAGACTTGCCTTTTGAGACCCCCTTTTCTCCCTCGCAAAATGGAGGACCCCCTTTCGGTATTTCGATCACCTCCTACATTAGCCACACAAGATATCGTCATATAGGTCGTATCTCGCCGCCAGAGGCTATGGTTGACAACAACAAGCGGGCACAAGCAGATCTCAGGAGTACATGACACTCGCCCAGTGCAGCAACTAGAAGTGCGTAACAGAGTTCATGCTCCAGTAAGTAGATTGAACATCCAAGTACCCTTCCACATTTGGCAGAAGCATGTGGGGGTCCTGCAAGACACTCGTGTGACATGATGCTTGCTGTACCTACCTGCACGGTTTCCAATGCCTTTTTGAAGAGGAGCCCTTCGCTTAACCAAAAGGGAAACCCAACCAATTTGGGGGTCTCTTGTTTGAGACAAGCCCACACGGGTGGTTGTTCAATCTTTCCAGAATCTCAACCCACGGATGAGCCCTGTGATGAGCCTTTCTGAGGCATTACCCGATCCGTTTTGACGTGTCTTGGGCTCAATCTTGCCCCGCTCAATCGGTGCCCCCTCGAGTCTTCTCTGTAAGTGACCTTGGGGTTCGCGGGATGCTACCCCGCGACGATTTCGGTGGCTTCCAACAACCCCATCCGCTCCCCTGGGTGCAAACTTGGCATATCAATGAAAAGACATGGAAACCACAACGCTGGCTGGGCGAGTCATTTTGCCTTGGGAGACCCCCCAAAAATAGGTTTGGCCTTCCCCTAAGTTTCCCGAAGCCACCAACAAACAAATAGGTGGACCCTCAAAAACCGTCCCAAACCCGGCTCAGAGTTGGTCTCATCTTGTATTGGGAACGCCGGAACTTCCTGAGTTGATTGGCCAAGAAAGTAACCAAGATTCTTGTTTGCCACCAAACTGGTCCAACCCAAAAAGTATGAAGTCCATGAACCTAGGGAGTGAGAAAGGGAGGAGCAATGACAGTTGGCCGACAGCTAGCGTCTGCTTCCCAATTCGGGAAGAAACAAAACCACGCCGCACAAGGCTTTGAATTGCTGCGTCTTCCTTGCCAACGCATTATGACAAGCCGCGTCCAAGCACCGCTGCAAACCAGGAGGGACTTGAGGTGCTTGCACGTGTCGCACGAGCCACAGCGTCGAGTTGTGGACCAGTAGCCCGCCCCTGTTCACTGCTTGGATCGGATCCCCATTTTTTAGGGAACCAAATCATCCACTTGGACGCTTCAGGTCGGTAATAACGTTTCAGCGTTTTGTTTCTTTCTTTGTTTTTGGGAAATGAAGAGACTTGGAGTTTTCCTGAGAAAACCGCCGCCAGTTGGATGCTTCAGCTCGATTCGGGTCATTCCTTCCGCCCCCTCCTGCACAGCGCCGGTGGCCACCGCGTCCCCGGCCAACTCCTCTGGCTGGTCCTTCTTCACCTCACACTTTGGACTCAGATGCAAAGAACAACCTCACAACTTTTGGTATGGGCGTGCAACAAAAAAGACGAGTCTGTTTTGCCGCCCCCTAAACATGAACAGAACCAAAATACCACTTCTTCAGAAGGACAGTTCTACTGCTCGCCCAGCAGTCGAATGTGGGGTCCTAGCCTCAAAGCCGTACACGGCCTAGGATGGAGAAGTGAGTTGACCCCTTGGTGGACATCATTTGCATGGGGGCGAAAAGTGCCATAGCCACATCACCCTCGATCTCAACCTTGATCCCAAGAAGCACCTGCATGGATGCATCCCCGAACACCTATTTCATGTACCAAAAAACACAAAGGACTCATTTGAGTAAGGACAATGTGGTCATTACTTCAGCTACATAGCCCCCACTCACCTCCCCCCCCCCCCCCCGTGTTTTTGACAGCAAGGCTAATCTCATCAAATGACTGCATTTTCTCTTGCAGCTGACTGAAGTGACATGAACCTTTATATATAGCAATCTTGGTTGACCTCTGTTTTGTTGCGATTGCTTTGTGGGACATGATGCTCTTCTTAGTTCATGTTCGGTGTGGCTCTCCCACAAACCCGTGCAACCCAAAGAAAGATGCTCGGCTCCCTACAAACCAAGAACCGCTGGTCCAACATGAAAGGGCCCAGAAAAGCCAGAGGATTCCTATGGCCGCCATCCCCAAAGGAAACAATAGCTCACCAATTCTCTTGCTGCAAAGACTCAAGGCTTTGCAGGTAAACATGTGGTTGAAATGGGCCTATCGATCACCTTCCAAATGGGATAGTAGCAGGACAATTATCCTTTTCGGTGTATTTCGGTGGGGCTGGTTTGGGGGTAGTGAAAACCATCTCAGACTCAAACTTGGAACCTGTTGGTATGTGGGCGGTGCACAATAGAGGTTAGTCACCTCTCTGTTTTCCTCAGGCGTTTGGGCTAGCATGACATCCCCGAATCCTGCAGTACTGGTTCAAAACCATGGTACTCCCCCGCAGTTCAATGGCAGAAACCCAAAAAGGGAGGTCCTGCCCATCAAGAGGAGATTCCTCTACACATCGTTTTCGGCTTTTCTTTTCCATGTCAATCTGCTTTGGACGCCCAAGCAGAAAGCTCGCAAACCCGGAGAGGATCTGACCGCAAGCTGCGAGTGAACATTTGCTTTGGTTCACGACATTTCATCCAAGGGGCGTCCATGCCCTGGTCCTGCCAGAAACCGGATCTAGATCTGATATGTCCAACTCAGAGTGGCATGGCAAAAAACGGTCGGGAGGGATGTGGCCTTTCATTAATGGTCTTCTGAGTTTGTCATCCAATGTCACCTAAATGATGCACGACAACAACAGCAAAAAACACATAACAGAAACCTCTTAAGAATAAGTCCAAGACAAGCAAGGTGAAACACATAAGACAAAAGGCAAGGAACAGCAACAACAAAACACAAAGCAACAACAAACAATAAAAGAGACAAGCGCAGACAATAAACAGACAAGAACAATCACAACAACAAAGACGAGAACAAAGACAAAATAAAATACAAGACATACACACAATAACAAATACAAGAATAACGACTACACCGACCAAACACACAACGCAATAAATAAGACAAGAACAAGCACCGCTAAACAAGACACTAAGAAAACAAGAACAAACAACAATCACAAGAACAATACACGAAATTAAAACAAGAAGAAAGACAAGAACATAAACAAGAATAAAGACAAGAATAATGACAAGAGAAAAGACAATAATAAACACAAAGACAAGAATACACGGATGAACAAGCACGAGCAACAAGACAAGAACAACGACAAGCAGAGACAAGCAAAACGAGAAAGCCAGGAGGCGGACAAACCAGTCGCCGGCTGAAGAGGCAGTGGGTCCCTGCCGATTGAATGGCTGAATGGGGCCCTGCCATAGACCATGGTTCAAATATCTTCACAAGCATTTCACAGGAATCTGAGGCAATGTTTCATGTAGTGTTTGTGTGCACAAAGGGGTGAAAAGCAGAAATGGCAGCTTCAAGACCCTGGCTAAAAAGCGAAAAACAAAATGAGACTTGCACTACGGAGCTGCATCTGCACTGCATGCATGTGTTTTTGTTCACACTACTTCCATGTGTATTGCTGGCTGCATCCGCTGCCTTTGGCAGCTCACTGCAGCACGGCAGCAAGCCATCGAAGCAATCTTGGTCATGCCAATATTTCCTTACGAAAATACTAGGAGAGTTCACCGAAATCTGATGAGTTCAAGCATCATCAAACTCAACCGAATCTTCCTGGAGCAGTGGAATGATGGGCTAGGAAGCCAGGCATCAGCTTTGGCCTCTTCTTTTGGCTTCTCTGCCTCAGCCTCTGTTGCCTTCTCTTCAAGACCTTGTAGCTTGGCCTTCAAGGCTTCCATTCTCAAACTGATCCTTGCTGAGAATCTTGGCAGCTTCGCCTTCAAACAGCTTGGCGTCACTTTCTTTGTCGCAGTCTGCCTCAGCTTGATCCATCATGTTCACCAGGTCTTCCTTGTTTTGTTTTCTTGGCACAAGCTGAAGCAGCCATCATCGTGACCTTCAAGACAACTGTTTGCTTGTCAGCTGCTTCCGTCCTTCCAAGCCTAGGATTCTCCTTGCAAATTACCTGGATTTGAGGAAAATCCGGCCTTTCAGCTTTTCAACGGCATCCTCTTTCCCAAGTCTAAGTCTTTGTCCACGTCCAGCACCTTTTGCCATCGCTGCAAGCGCTCCTCCAACTGTTCAACGGGGGTCACGCTGCCCTGGATGAAATCTGGACATGTGAAGCCCAACATCGCTCAGGTGGCCACAACGCCGTCTGCCATTTTCTGCCATGGAAGCGAACGGCTTAATCATGTCACGGACCGCAACGACGAACTTGTTGCACTTTGGTGTTCCAGCAAACCTTTGATCAACCATCATTGTACAATCTTCGAACCAAAATCGATTCACCTTTCGAAGATGCTCATCCTTCACTGCTTTGGCCTTCCCTGGCCTTCCTTTGCTACGTCTCGACTTCGAAGAATTGATTCCTTCAAACATTTCTGTCCAGTCACCACCTTCTCCTTTAGCCGTCAAGACTTCCTTAGCTTCATCCGAGGATACATCTTCATCTTGAAGCTTGGAAAACTTCTCAAGAAAGTCTTTGGCAATCCTGGGAGTGCAAACCTCATACTCAAACATTTGGGCGATCCGTTGCTCTTTCATTTCTTCGAGAACTTCTGCATAAGTATGCTCTGTTGTGAGCTCGCTGAAGTCTCTGAGATGATTTGACGGAGGCAAGCGAATGTGCCTAGCTAAGAAAGCCTATTCTGGTCTCAGTCTTGAGCCCATCTGATTTCAGCTGAACCGCGAAGATCTGGAGCAGATCTGCCACACTCCACTTCTTACGGGAGCCATGGGAGGGATCCCCTTGCCTCATAGTCACCCACTTTTTGAGTGCATTGGTCCAAACAAACCAAAGCTGAGTATGGCCCTTGATGGTCCCCAAGAAGGCCCTAGTCACTACTTTCTGAGTGGATTGGCCCCAAAATATTCAGCTGATTGTTCGCCAAATGGTCCAAACCCAAAAAGTAAACGTACAATCAGATCCCCTGCGAAAAAGTGAAGCATGTTAAGTGGGTTAATACGGACACTACCACTAAAATGATCCAAAATGATCCAAAAAGCAAAGGAACCGGATGACCCTTCGAGAGCCACCAAGGAGTGAGGGTTGCGAGTTGGCTCCCTTTGCGAGTTGAGGCTGAATCTGCATTTCCCCTTTGTCCTTGGCCGACTCGTCAATGGTCGAAACATCGGAGCCCACGAAACGCTTGTCACCTGAGCGCATGAATCGGTGGTGCTGCCCTTCTTAGGGTTGGTTTAAAGGGAAATCGATAAGAAGCCACCCGCTTCAAAAAGGTTTATGACAAACCATTTGAGGCCAAAGAAAAGAGAAACCAAACTAACCTTAAGGTATAATACACCAAACAACTCCCCTTGGAGACACACCCAGTTTGTTTCCTGGGCCGTGCCGAAAACCCTGCAGGACCTGGCTTGATGTCTCAGAGTTCAAAGGACCTGGAACTCAAGGGCAAGGTAATCCTTGGTTTGGATTGGTTGGGTCGTTGGATCAACTTCATCCTAAGTATCCCCATTTCATCATTGTAACTTGACCATTAAAACAGGTGTTGCAAGCGGTCGAATTTCGGTCCGTTTTGAAAGATGGGGAAGCCACCCGCAACAAGCCTACGGATTTATGAGGACCTGGGCCGATTCTCAAACGACCCTTGAAAACGGAACATCCTCCCCATTCTCTGGGGTCGATCACCCGTTTTCTGGGTAGTTTGACGGTCCTGGTCGGTTTAAGGGTACAGTTTCATGTGCACCGTACGACTCACATGTGCAGGCGGGCTGGGTTTCACATGGCTGTGGGTCCAAAATACATCCCCAAAATGGCTTGCCCTGGTAAAAGGAACCAACGACTAAAACCTGCGGTCCATATCCTGGTGGTTTAATTTTGATCCGTACCCACATTTATTTCCAACCATGACCCGCCACAAGGAGACTCTCCTTTCAGTCTTAAAGCCACAAGGCACAAAGGAAGCCTGCCCGAAACTTCCGCTTTCAGCCTGGACACATCCATCACCCTTTCGTGGCTTTCTAGCATCATCATGTCAGTACGGAGCAAACAGAAAAGCTGCCTAGACCCTCAAACTACCTATTGAAAACGGTTATTGACCCGAACGAATGATGTCCATTGTTTAAGGGTAGTTTGATGGTCCAGGTGCTTGATTTTAGAAAACCGGTACATTCCTTTCAACGGCCCAACCACAAAGTGCCCGTTCTGAAAACCGATTTGACGGGTCTTTATAGTCCAACTTTGAGAAATGTCGAAAATAGGTTTAGCACATTGTCGAGGAATGTTCCAACTTTGAGAAATGCGCTTATAGTCCAACTTTGAGAAATGTTCCAGCACATTGTTTGAAAACTGTGGGGGACATAATCGTGTCGAGATGTGCCGAGAAAACAGGGCTTAGTGTCGAGAAAACAGTTGCGAGCAATTTGTTTAAAAAAAAAAAACAAATCAACTGCTTAGACAACTGCCCTATAAAATGTTGGGAAAGCAGGACTCAGTGTCGAGAAAACAACTGAACAGTGCCCAAAGAATTAGTGTCACAGGACATCGAGAAAACAATTCCAAACATCTGAACAATTCCAAGGAGTTTTCAAGGATGCTCCGAATTCGGTCGCCAGCCCTAAACACAACGATACGGGTCTGTCTTTTTTTAGGGTACCCCTTTTTTGGGAGACCACTAGGAACACCACTATTTTGGGGTGTCCCCTAAAAAAAGGACACGGCCATAAGATGTTGCCAAGCGTTGACTCGGGATCTCTTTGAGGGAACCCGATTCGGAAGTTGAGCTTCCGAGTTGCACTCCACAGTCAGACCAGACAGAGCTTCTTCGCAAAGTCGCCTGGAAACATCCTGCGGCAGGTCGCTCGTCGAGGTGAGTTGGTACCTTTGAAAGGGGTGGTTTTCGAACACGGGAAAACCACCAGTTTGGGCCTGTTTGGGCCGGACCAGGGTTGATTCAGACAGGCACATTTTAAAGGGACACCAAAAAAGGAAAACCGCGCCATTGCCGGGGTCTAAGAAGACACACTCATTTGATTGTTGCTCATTTGAAAGGGTTGATGCCCCATTCTCTTCATGTGTTCTCTTCAGCCATTGCCCATTTTGCCAAGAGTTGTTGCCCATGTTCTGAGGGGAAAAATCTCAGAATGGGGCTCGGAAGGCACGGTTAGAAGCCTCAGAACTGTTCGACAATGCCCAAGAGATAGAAAAGCACTGGATGATGAAAGCAAGTTCCTCCGGCGGAATCCACCGGGTCCAGACTTCTGCGCTCACATTCTCGTGGCCGGAATCAGTGCTTTCTTGATTGAATTCTCGCCCGGTTCCGGAACTAGGGTATTTTGAGAATGTCAATTCGAAAGGTGTGAATCAAAAAAGGTTAAAAAAGGAGCCAAAAGGAACCGGGGTATGTTATTGGTTTGGAATCACCCTCACTTGCTTGGTGGAGAGTCTCATGAGATCCACAATACAAACCTGCTGATATGATAAAAAAAAAAAAAAAAAAAAAAAACTGTTCCAGATCAACTATGCCTGCAAGGGATACCAATGTTTCGCAGGGTTTGCCTTCAAAGCAAAAACATTCATGGCTGCTCGAAGATAACGATGGATAAGAATGCGGAATCAACAGGAAGCACCCATTTTGCTTCCCATCTAAAGGTAAACACGGGAGCACTATCCTTTTTGCCGGTTTCTCTGAAAAGCCGGGGCCGGGGTCACGAGCTGATTTCAGCCAAGAGTCCCCCTACCCATGTCCCATGCTGTGGATGGACAACATCCGTTCGCACCACCTAAGAAACCATGATTGAAACCTGTTTGTGGGTATGTACACCTGGGAATCGAATCATTCCAGGGTTTCTGAGTGGTGGTGCGAAATGGACTTCGCAACCAGCCACAGTATGAATCAGGAATACCCTCCCAAATTGTTGGACATACATTCCCGAAGTTTGACGTCCAAAGGATTACCAATTGAAATTCGCGCCCATGTCAGCGACGATACATCGATTCCGAACCGAACATGCTCCTGGATCAGGGGCTCCGTCAAAGACATGCAGGCTGCGGGATGCCGTGCTCAAAACGCGTTGCGCGAAGGATGCGCGTGCACCGAGCAGCCCGTAGAGGGGTTGGGTGAGTCATTTGAATGTTGTTTGGAGCTGGCGCACTTTCCGGGGTTGGTAACCGAACCATGTTGGGAGTTCCCTCAGTGCAAACCAAAGCAAAACTGATCAGTACGCTAAACAAAGGCTTCTCAAGGCTTGGCTGAGGACAAGCTCAACACTTCTAAGCTGTTTGTCCAGCGGTCAACATCCCAAGCTTGTGGTTGCCAACATCTCGAGTTCAGAAGTCAAGCAGTTGGGTTGCGGGCTGTGCGACGGTTGAGCCAATGCTGACATCGGAGACAGTGCTGAACTCCATAAGTTGGCCCAGGAACGCCTCGAAGCGATTCCAATTGACTGAATTTGAGGAAGCCGAGCACCAAAGCCTTGAGCTACGGAAGCTACATGGTCCTTTTGAGGGACGAACACCGAGAGTACAGTGCCTGAGCTTGGGCAATCACTCGGAAGCTGCCATCGTCAGGCAGGAATGCCTCTACCGGTAAGCTGACAAAGGTGTCCTGGCTCTCTCAGAATACTTGGCTGGAATTAGGACCCCTGCAAGAAACTATATTGCATGGTTGGTTAGTGATAAACAACAAACCCCCAAAAAGCAAAAAAAGAAAAGAAAAAGAGGATCTATGATTTGTCGGAAAGAAAAGACAAAGTCATCCCTGATTCCATGGCACATGGAATCAAAACTGCTTACTGCTCACATTTGAAATTTCAGATTCTCAGGGCCGGAACCAGAGCATTCTGAGAATGTCAAAAGGTGTGAAATAACAACAAAAGGAGCCGGATGGAACTGGGGCATGTTGTTTGTTTCGAATCACCAGTTGCTCAGTGTCGGTGGAGCGTCCCAAATTGGGAAATCCACAATAAAACCTGCTAATATGATTTCAAAAAAAAACCACGGGTTCCAAATCAACCATGCCTTGAACAGGATACAAACGTTTTGCAGGGCTTGCCTTCAAAGCAAAATGATGGATGAGACTGGGGAATCAACCCAAAGATCAGGAAGCACCCATTCTGCTTCCCGTACGCCAGAAAATATCAGCAGGGTGTAGGCGCAAGCATAAGGCTTGTTAGGACGTGATCCGATTCGCTATAAGGCGGGCTTGAGGGCTGACGTCAACCGCCAAGTTGCCCCGATCCTTGCCAAGTGCTGTACATATTATTGCAAGCGGAGCCCCGTGATCAGTCACAAAACTCGGGAGCACCAATCCTTTTTGCCGGATTCTTCGAAACGCCGGGGCCGGGGGCCGGGGGCACGAGCTGATTTGAGCCAAGAGTCCCGCTACCCAATGTCCTCCCGACAAAACATACTGTGCTGATGGACAACATCCGCTCGCACCACCCAAGAAACCATGGCTGAAACATGACGCTTGTTGATACGTGCACCGGGGAATCGAATCATTCCAGGGTTTCTGAGTGGGAGCGAAATAATTTCGCAACCATCCACAGTATCAATCAGGAACACCCTCCCAAATTGTTGGACTTACATCCCCGAATTTTGATGTCCAACGGAGTACCAATTGATATTTACTGGTACGGCTGCCTCCAGCAGCATCTTAGGAGGCTCTTCCCAGATCAACATCGTTTACAAGTAAAGTGTTGGATTCCCTTTCTGCAGCACACAGTTCAACTAGTTGAACAAACCTAGCCCGACAAAAACTCGAAGACGCCGTTTTGACGATGGGCACTGACGATCGGCTTACAGGCAGCCTCGATGTAGGGTCCCAGAGTCCCAGGCTTGTGCCTGCTCCCCTCGGGCTCTCGGCAAGACAGGCTGGTGGAAGTTTTCGTCTCACGAATCCTGCCCAAACTGTCAGGCTTGGCACGGATTGAAATCTGGCTGAGCCGCTGCGCCAGGATCTGCTTCATGCCGTCTAAAAGCAACACGCACACGGACACACGACACGATCCTGAGATCTTGCAAGGCCTGGCCCGGCCAAGCTCGCAAATCTGGGGCCGGGCCGCTCAACGCTGCATCTGCGCAGGCCACCGAGCAACGAGCAACTGGCGACCATTTGATGTTCAAGACATATGTCCGACCCTGGCCAAAGCACAAGGTGTTCTTAACATACTGCCGGAAATGCCCAAGCCCTTGCTCAAGTCCATACATGAAACAAGAAAAAGGCTCACAGCGGTTGAAACATCTTGTTCAAACACAGCCCTCAAATCTCAAATGAAGAAATCCCAATCCCAAAAAACAATTCTTGAAGAGGCCCTGAGTGAGGTCTCCCCCCGGACCTTGGAATCGGACGGCCCCCCTTCATCCGCGCCGTGACCTCCCGGACTGCGACGGCCCCGGCAGCTCCTCCGAGGCGTCCTGCAGCGCCGTGCCGTTCCGCGTCACCGCCGCCAGGACCACCCCGCGGTCTCCTCGGAGCTTATTTTCCCGCATCTTCCCTCGCCTCCAAGCTGACCTCGCTGCTCTTGCCGCAGGGAGCTACGAGCTCAGAAACTGGAGTCATCCTGGTCTTGCAGGGACCAAGTCAGAGGTGAAGAGGTCACTGGATCTGCCCACAGTCCAGAGCAGAGCTTCGAACTCCAAGAATCAATGAGGACTGGCCTCTGCCCAAGTCCCCCAACTGACTTACTTATCGTGCTCTGCCAAGAAAAGCCGCACGATCGGAGCTTTTGCTGACGGCCTTGCGCAAGGCCAATGCCTGCTGCCACTGCCCATTTCAGAAGCACTGATGCTGGCTGCGCAGAGGGTCAACACTCTGCCACCGTTCGGCGCGCAAGCACCACTTCATAGAGGACCCGGCCTGCGCGGGCTCAAGCCAAGTGCCGCGAAGCCACGGGACGCCATAGGCCTTAGGCATCGGCTCCGAGGGCTCGGGCAATCCAAGTCTCCAAGTCTGGGGCTTACAGAAACCAATGCCAAAACGAGCGTCGGACAGATTGAGACGCGTTCTTCTCTTATAGGCTGAAAGAAAAAGCTTGGCATCCATGCACGGCAAGAACACATTCCCCAAATGCGTTATTTTAAGATAATATGCATTTTGAGTATGAATCGCAGTCACATGTGCTGGCATACAGTAAAGTGTTGCCACGTTGGAATTGAACATTTGCTCCTCAGTCTCCCTAGGCAGAGCCTTCCAGTGGTTCTTGCCGCTGCGTGACATGAGAATGACTCCTGACAAGACCAGTGGCAAGGACGGCGACGCAGGACGGCGCAGGCTTGCCGAGCAGGGGGCCCCTCACCCAGAAGATTGCCTTTCACGCCGAGCCCTGTAGACCTTGCCATCACTGCCCCTCTGCGAGGACGCATGGTGGGTTTCCATAGTGGTCAGTGGAAAACCCAGTCTGGCGCTACCCGAACGATCCAGGAAGATCCCGCAAACAATTGCAGCTTGGGCTTCTCGCACATGTTGAGTCACAAAGCCAAGTTCCTGTAAGCGTTCAAACCCTGCGTGGCCCCAAGCACGGTCCCCAGCTATGTCTAGTTTTGCATCGTCACGCAGGCAATAGGCTGCCGGGTCGGCTGTGATTGTTGTTTGCATTGGCATCGCACAAAGCCCAAGGTGAAGGCAAAGTTAATGTTGTTATTAGCTGTTTTGGAAGGAACAACCACGGTGGAAGGGCCTTCAACATCGCAACACAGTCAGCATGCCACTGCTACTACTGAAAATAATTGAAACTGCACAAAACCGAAAAAAGTATGGAGGGTTCCCATAGGAGCCGCTGAAAATTCCAGTCTGGCACTAGCTCACAACCTCAGGTTGAGGCCTTCACATCCAGCATATTTTCAGAGTGACCACAAATCATTTTTGGATGCCATGATCCATTTTGAAAATAAGGTCACTTAGCTGAATGCAACAGGTCACTTAAGTGAGATTCAGGCCGTTTAGGCTACAGCAGCTGCACTTACAAACATGTGGTTCCTGGCTACCTTGAGGAGTGTACATTTGAGCCCAATCTATGGAGGCTGGGCACAGGTGATGACGAGCAAGCGGCGACACGTGAATGACAGTCAGACAAGCCAGTCGACCTCTTCTTGACCTAAGTGACCTCGATTCGCCTCCGCGCGAAACTCAAATGACACGCCTTGAGACTCACATTTGAATAATCATGCGCAAGCCGCTGCCCGCACTTCAGTTGGCCATGTTTTTGTTTACAGGCTCGCTTGAGAGGTCAAACTTTTGCACGCTCCAGGGCGAAACAGGCCATTTTGAAAAGCCAAACATAATCCACTGTTGGCCCCCCCGACACTCAGCTACGTGGCCTTGATTGCTTTGGAGTCTTCGAAACGGCGAGAATGCTGCTGATAGTTTTGGAGTCGTTGAAAAGGCCATAAGTCTACTGATTGTGTTGGAGTCTTTGACAAGGCCATCAGTCTGCTGATTGTTGTGGAGTCTTGGAAAAGGCCAAGTCTGCTGATTGCTTTGAATTCTTACAATTTGGGATCCATTCGACCTTGCTTTTGAACTCGGTCTTAGTTCTGGAAATGAGGCTCCCAGCCCTGGCGAGCGCTGCTGAGAAGGTCAATAAACAAGTCTCAATATGGGCATATTAAAAGGCCACACCGACAGAACCCATCAGCTTGGAAAGCATCAATGCAACCGCTTGACCTGCGCGTTGCCCAACCGACTAGCTAGCAGCATGGCAGATCTGCTCCATCTCCAACAAAGCGCTGTGCAAAGCACAGCCAAAGAAAGCCAGCCCTCATAAACATTTATGATGCCTCCATCTCGCGTTCCAAGCATTTATCATTTCTCCGCAAAATAAGGGTGTCCGAAAGGTCTAGCCAAATCTGCAAGATTCAAGGGTGGAAAGGCTGGCGCGCCGTCAGGCGCACGATAAATGTATTGCATATCATATCTGAAGTCAGGATTTGTTCGCTTCCGGAAATGACCGAGTCCTTGCCCAAGTCCATACATCGCATTACGAAAAGCACAGATGTGCTGAAACACCCCAAACAAAACACAGCCCTCAAATCTCAAATGAAGAAATCCCAATCCCAAGAACAACTCTTGAAGAGGCCCTGAGTGATGTCTGCCCCGAACCTTGGAATCGGATGGCCCCCGCACCAGCAACGCTGAATCCGAGTAACGCACAGCCCAATGACCGCTGGGACGTTTTACCTTTGCAGTGGTGGGCTTGTCACAGGAATGAAGGCTCCCACACTTGCCCGAGCTGGTGACTAAGATGAAGGCCGAAAGTGCCAAGTGGGCAAGGACACTTGGGCCAACGTTGTGTCCGGCGCCCAAGTTGCCGTGAGAGCTGTTCGATCAATGTGAGCAATGCAACAAACATTTGGACTCAATCCAGCGTCTCGGCGAGGCTGCAAGAGTTGTACTCCGAGCGTCGCCCCACCCATTTCTGCGGGACCCGCTGAAACGGTCTGCATTGGTCAGCAATTCCCCACAGTTCAATGGTCAGCGACCAACATCACCAAACTCGTAATGCCTCTTGAGCTGGAGCGGAAGGGCGCAACTCAATCCCAGTCTGCAAAGAAGCCACCTGCAGGGAAGCCGTGCGAATTTAATAAGGTCATTGAGCACCGTTGCTCTTGGTGCGGGTGAGGGCATGCACGAACATTGCCTGCTGTTTTGGAAGGGACAACCATGGTGGAAGGGGCCTTCAACACCGCAATGAGGTCCGCTTGCCAACACCTGGCCGCATGAAAGAACCTACACACACACACACAAGAGGATGGTGGATTCCCAAGGCCAGTGGACAATCCAGTCTGGCGCACAGGTTGCGTAAAAACGCCTAGTTGGTGTAAGTGCTCACACCCTCTGAGAATGACTCCTGACAAGACCAGGTTTCATTCTGGACACTGAGTCTGCTGATTGTTTTGGAGTCTTTGAAGAGGAATGCCATAATTGTGCTGATTGTTTTCAAGACTTTGAAAAGGCCATAAGTCTGCTGATTGTTTTGGAAAGGCCATTGGAGTCTTGGAAAAGGCCATAAGTCTGCTGATTGCTTTCAATTCTTGCAAGTTGGGCTCCACTCGACCTTGTTTTTGGACTTGGTCCTAGTTCTGGAAATGAGGCTCCCAGCCCTGGCGAGCGCTGCTGAGAAGGTCAATAAACAAGTCTCAATATGAGCATATTAAAAGGCCACACCGACAGAACCCATCAGCTTGGAAAGCTTCAATGCAACCGCTTGACCTGCGCGTTGCCCAACCGACTAGCTAGCAGCATGGCAGATCTGCTCCATCTCCAACAAAACGCTGTGCAAAGCACAGCCAAAGAAAGCCAGCCCTCATAAACATTTTATGATGCCTCCATCTCGCGTTCCAAGCATTTATCATTTCTCCGCAAAATAAGGGTGTCCGAAAGGTCTAGCCAAATCTGCAAGATTCAAGGGTGGAAAGGCTGGCGCGCCGTCAGGCGCACGATATATTTATTGCATATCTGAAGTCAGGATTTGCTCGCTTCTGGAAATGACCGAGTCCTTGCCCAAGTCCATACATCGCATTACGAAAAGCACAGATGTGCTGGAACACCCCAAACAAAACACAGCCCTCAAATCTCAAATGAAGAAATCCCAATCCCAAGAACAACTCTTGAAGAGGCCCTGAGTGATGTCTGCCCCGGACCTTGGAATTGGATGGCCCCCGCACCAGCAACGCTGAATCCGAGTAACGCCCAGCCCAATGACCGCTGGGACGTTTTACCTTTGCAGTGGTGGGCTTGTCACAGGAATGAAGGCTCCCACACTTGCCCGAGCTGGTGACTAAGATGAAGGCCGAAAGTGCCAAGTGGGCAAGGACACTTGGGCCAACGTTGTGTCCGGCGCCCAAGTTGCCGTGAGAGCTGTTCGATCAATGTGAGCAATGCAACAAACATTTGGACTCAATCCAGCGTCTCGGCGAGGCTGCAAGAGTTGTACTCCGAGCGTCGCCCCACCCATTTCTGCGGGACCCGCTGAAACGGTCTGCATTGGTCAGCAATTCCCCACAGTTCAATGGTCAGCGACCAACATCACCAAACTCGTAATGCCTCTTGAGCTGGAGCGGAAGGGCGCAACTCAATCCCAGTCTGCAAAGAAGCCACCTGCAGGGAAGCCGTGCGAATTTAATAAGGTCATTGAGCACCGTTGCTCTTGGTGCGGGTGAGGGCATGCACGAACATTGCCTGCTGTTTTGGAAGGGACAACCATGGTGGAAGGGGCCTTCAACACCGCAATGAGGTCCGCTTGCCAACACCTGGCCGCATGAAAGAACCTACACACACACACAAGAGGATGGTGGATTCCCAAGGCCAGTGGACAATCCAGTCTGGCGCACAGGTTGCGTAAAAACGCCTAGTTGGTGTAAGTGCTCACACCCTCTGAGAATGACTCCTGACAAGACCAGTTTTCATTCTGGACACTGAGTCTGCTGATTGTTTTGGAGTCTTTGAAGAGGCCATAATTATGCTGATTGTTTTGGAAAGGCCATTGGAGTCTTGGAAAAGGCCATAAGTCTGCTGATTGCTTTCAATTCTTGCAAGTTGGGCTCCACTCGACCTTGTTTTTGGACTTGGTCCTAGTTCTGGAAATGAGGCTCCCAGCCCTGGCGAGCGCTGCTGAGAAGGTCAATAAACAAGTCTCAATATGAGCATATTAAAAGGCCACACCGACAGAACCCATCAGCTTGGAAAGCTTCAATGCAACCGCTTGACCTGCGCGTTGCCCAACCGACTAGCTAGCAGCATGGCAGATCTGCTCCATCTCCAACAAAGCGCTGTGCAAAGCACAGCCAAAGAAAGCCAGCCCTCATAAACATTTTATGATGCCTCCATCTCGCGTTCCAAGCATTTATCATTTCTCCGCAAAATAAGGGTGTCCGAAAGGTCTAGCCAAATCTGCAAGATTCAAGGGTGGAAAGGCTGGCGCGCCGTCAGGCGCACGATATATTTATTGCATATCTGAAGTCAGGATTTGCTCGCTTCTGGAAATGACCGAGTCCTTGCCCAAGTCCATACATCGCATTACGAAAAGCACAGATGTGCTGGAACACGCCAAACAAAACACAGCCCTCAAATCTCAAATGAAGAAATCCCAATCCCAAGAACAACTCTTGAAGAGGCCCTGAGTGACGTCTGCCCCGGACCTTGGAATTGGATGGCCGCCGCACCAGCAACGCTGAATCCGAGTAACGCCCAGCCCAATGACCGCTGGGACGTTTTACCTTTGCAGTGGTGGGCTTGTCACAGGAATGAAGGCTCCCACACTTGCCCGAGCTGGTGACTAAGATGAAGGCCGAAAGTGCCAAGTGGGCAAGGACACTTGGGCCAACGTTGTGTCCGGCGCCCAAGTTGCCGTGAGAGCTGTTCGATCAATGTGAGCAATGCAACAAACATTTGGACTCAATCCAGCGTCTCGGCGAGGCTGCAAGAGTTGTACTCCGAGCGTCGCCCCACCCATTTCTGCGGGACCCGCTGAAACGGTCTGCATTGGTCAGCAATTCCCCACAGTTCAATGGTCAGCGACCAACATCACCAAACTCGTAATGCCTCTTGAGCTGGAGCGGAAGGGCGCAACTCAATCCCAGTCTGCAAAGAAGCCACCTGCAGGGAAGCCGTGCGAATTTAATAAGGTCATTGAGCACCGTTGCTCTTGGTGCGGGTGAGGGCATGCACGAACATTGCCTGCTGTTTTGGAAGGGACAACCATGGTGGAAGGGGCCTTCAACACCGCAATGAGGTCCGCTTGCCAACACCTGGCCGCATGAAAGAACCTACACACACACACAAGAGGATGGTGGATTCCCAAGGCCAGTGGACAATCCAGCCTGCCGACAAGAAGTCGGAGCGTACCATGCATAACGGCCTGCGCGAGCTGCGCGTCGGCATAAGACATCAATGCCAGCCTGCAGTGTTGCCGTTGTGCATTCATAGTGCCTACGGAAGGCCTCTTTTGGCGGACAGTTGCTGAACCATATTCTTGCTTGTCAAGCAAGGCTCGCCAACGCTAAGCGCAAGGCCTGACCACACCAAGCGGGTCTCAGTGTATATTGGCAGCATTCCGCGCAACACTGTCCTGCCAAGCTTTACAGCAGTTGAAGTTCACTTTGGCGCTCGGAGGCCACTGCAACAAAAGTTGGCAGCCACGAGCTGGCGAAATGGTTCCCGGTTGTTCCGGCATTTGCATCGCAGGCACGTTCAGCGGGAACGGTGAGATCGAACAATACAGCAATAATTAGACCCACCAGAATCCAGCGGGCGGAGAGAGCAGCAGGGCGGCATCAGCGTGCCGAAGGAGTCGCAAGATCCCCAGCGCAGTCTTCACATGGGCCTCTACAAGCCGGCCCACGGATACTATACTTGAATCAATTAACTATACCAACAGTCATTGGTAGAAGTCTTTGATTGCATGGGAAACCGTAACTGGTGGTGATTTCTGTTGCGAATGCCTGACAGTGACAAGTCAAGTTATATTGATTGGACTTGGGGGCAACAAAACGGCCACATTGAGGCAACAAAACAGGGGGGGTTATGAGGTGGGGAGAGCGAAATGGACTGCCGTACAGCTCGCCAAACTTCCTGGAGCCCCCATTGTGTGTTTGCAAATATGTGCGCTTGTTTGCGGATATGTGCGCTCGTTGTGCACTTCGATGTCTGCGCGCTCCTATCATCTTGGAGGACCGATCAGCTCGGTTTTGGGAAAGCCGCTCGAAGCATGAAAAAGTGTACTCTTACCAACATTTGGTGACGACCCTTGGTTTTGCACTAGGCTTGGGCTAAGGGCAGAAATCTAGGTCACAAAACGCTCCAGGCTCTTGTAGCTACGTTGGGGAATCCAAATTGCGCTCCCGTGTCCACGGGCAAGCTACGACTTCTATCCCTTTCTGTTTCCCAACGGCTGGGCAACAGAGTTCCATGATGCAAACCACAGGCATCCCAAGCCCTAGGCCAACTTAACCAAGCGGTGCTGAACATTTGCCCCAAGCACACATCGAGTATGCATGGAAGCTTGGATTTGCACTTCAGCTGCGAAGGCTTAGTCACATTGAATGTACATCCGTGCATTTGAGGGCTTCCACACAGAACAAACAAGTAGGTTAATTAGCAACATGCAAAATCCTTGCAAAGGAGCCTCCTCTTCTCCCAGGCGCCGGTCCCAAGAGTCCGTCCGGCCTCTCCGACACAGCGAGGAATTCGCTGCCCAAAACCGGGGCCTCCGGCCAGCAGCTTTTGCGGCAGAAAGCATCCGGATGGTCCGTGTTCAAGTGTACATGCTCCAGGCTTCCCTGAACGGCTCAAGCTTCCCACGCGTAAAGCAGCTTGCCATCATTCTTGGCTCTGTCTGCCGTCTTCGAATCCACAAGAAACCAAAAGAGACACGCAAGCCTGAAAGAAGGCAGCACCCTGCTCTGATTTGGCCATGGGCGACGCACAAGCGATTGCTGCCGTGCGATTCGTTCCCAGGGCAGTTTGGCCGCATGCGTGCCCAGCTCTGGCGCCTCTGGACGGCAATCCGGCAACGGCAGCTTTGCCATGGCCGGCAAACGATGTGAGATCACCATGGATGGGGGACAAAACGGGCCCGCATGTGTCTCGCAATGATTTCCCCAAAGCCAGGGGCAAAACTTAATGGATGGGAACAAGCAGGGTCCACAGGTGTCTGGGAATGATTAATGTTTCCCCAAAAAGACAAAAACTGGGGCCAAGGCCTGCACGTGACTGGTAATGATGAATGTTCCCCAAAAGAAAGAACTGGGGCCCACATGTGTCTAATTATGATTACGATATGCCATGTGCCAACCGCAAACACGCCTGGAGGTGATGAGTGATGAATGTGTCCCCAAAGGGACAAGGAAAAACTGGGGCACAAATGTGTCTGGAAACGGGGAATGAAATGCTACCCACGAGTACAGTGTTGGTTGAAATCTGAGAGCACTCGGGCCAAAACAGGAGCATTATCACAAACCAACCTTTGTTTTCGGGCGACACTTTTGCCCAAGGTACACAGCTTTGTCAACGCAAGGCGCCTCCGGAAATTAACGCGTCCCTGAGCATTTGAGCCCGACCCTGCAAACTTTTGACTAGGGGAGTCGCGCACATGTGCGGGAGCTCGAGAGTACTTGAATGATTTGGGAACCGCAAAATCGTCGGGAAGCCTGGCAAATAGGGCTGACAAGAGATTGTGCGGGGACCCATGTCAGCGACGATAGATCGATCCGGACCCGAACATGCTCCTGGATCAGGGGCTCCGTCAAACACAAGCGGGCTGCGTTATGCCGTGATTGGGCAGCTTGGGGTTGGGTTCGGCGTGTCATTTGGGGGTTGTTTGGGGTTGGCACCAAAACTTCTTGGGGGTTCCCCTTGTGGAGACCAAACACTACTGATCAGTAAGCTAAGCAAGGGTGCTCAACGATGAGGCTGTGCCAAAAATGCAGTTTGAGAACCAGCTCAAAACTTCTCAGCTGTTTTTCCACTCAGCATCCAAGCTTTTGGTTGCAAACATCTCGACAAGTCAAGCCGGCCCGGCAACCGTTTCTGAGACACTGGC